CTCTAGTATACATATCTTTAATGACTTGAATATAAGTCAAATCAACACATTTCTTCTCGAGAACTTTCCAAAGGATATCTCTTGGAACCTTATCGTAAGCTTTTTCTAAATCAATAAAAATCAAATGTAGATTCTCCTTATTATCTCTGAACTTCTCCATCAAACCTCTCAATAGATTGTATAGCTTACATAGTAGACCTGCTTGACATAAATCCAAATTGATTATGAGAAATCTTTGTGATGCGTCTGTCGGGCAACTTTTTGATAGATTTGAAAATCTGGTATATAAAAATAATTTTTGAAATTTAATTTAATTCTCGCCGATAGACCCAATTCTACAAACTAAGAGATTTGTGACATCCGTTTGGTTTGCGAATCTTTTATGTATGATCAACAAGTTCCCCTATTTAATACAAAGTTTAAATAATGTTTATTTTACCTGGGTTTCAAGTTCCCTATAGAGGCAAGTCCCTATAGTTAATTACATCCCAAGTGACGGGAGTCATTTGAGAAAATGATCGATAATGATCAATGGTTCTAGTCTTCAAGAATTCAAGGTTTAGGTTTTCATGGTAGGACGTGGAAAATGAAGTGAGAGTGGCTCGAATATGAACAATTATTTCAGGAGTCCAAAGGAAGGAACAGGTAGGGGATGTCATAGATCCTGAGGAGAAACCTCAGTGACATCTCAGACTATCCTATTGTGTGGCTGCATTTTAGAGACGATGCTAATTAAGTGTTTGATCCTGCCAATTTTATTATTTGGGACTTACATATGCATAACACTCGATTATGCAAATAGCCCGCAAAAATAAGAGGGTTTACGTCGTATCACATGACAAACTCGGAACCTAAGACGAGTTAGGACTTATGCTGTAAAACATGGTTGTACAGAAGCCTAAAAAGGGAGTGTGAGCTAATTAAGTGTTTGATCCTGCCAATTTTATTATTTGGGACTTACATATGCATAACACTCGATTATGCAAATAGCCCGCAAAAATAAGAGGGTTTACGTCGTATCACATGACAAACTCGGAACCTAAGACGAGTTAGGACTTACGCTGTACAACATGGTTGTACAGAAGCCTAAAAAGGGAGTGTGAGGATTTACGTCGCTCTATGCGAGCAACATCGAAGCTTGAGATTAGTAGTTTATGTTTCACAGTTTTGGTGTCAATGTTTGGTTTTGTTTTGTTTCGGTTTTGATTTTGCTTGGAGAATAAACGAATCGCAGGTAAATAAAATGTACTTGAAAGATAACATGCAATAAAGTAAAATGCTGTGAATAAACTGTAAAAGCGTACCTGAGCATCTGCTACTGTTATGTTATTAATATTGCGAGCATAATATGATTTGCAGCAGACTTAAATAAACTTGCAAGAAAATTAAACAAGACGAGAAAATCCAACGCGAAAGTCAAAAAAATGAGTTGTAAAAATCACGAGCAAAAGAAACCCTTATCCACATATGAAAGATCAGGACTGAGTATAAGACCTTGGTAAAAGTGGGGGCTCAGAGCTCGGCTGTGTGCTT